CTGTGAGACATGCCACCTCAGGTGCAGACACCAAATGTCCTGGGAGGAGACGGTGTCCACAGACACACCCTAACATGCTGTATCTACATCTAAAATCAGCAGCTTTTTCTTTTCAGTAGTACTGTTATCCTTTGTTTGGAATTTACATACAATATTTGCAGTTATTTATGGGGCACAATGTGGTGTTTCAGTATATGGATACGTCGTAGGATCATCAAATGATATAATTGATACATCTATTACTATGACTACGTCTTTGTGTTGAGGACACTTTAATTCCTCCTTTAGCTAGTTTAAAAGAAGTATCAGTTAGTACTACGGATACTCTGATGTGCTGTAGATCCCCAAACCCTTTCTTGTTGATGGGAACCTTCCACCCTCTGACGTTCCTACACCTGTCCATCTGGCCAGCCTCTGGCCACCGACAGCCTCACTCTCCACTCTGAAGCTTGGCTTTTAGAATCCATAAGCAAGTGATATCTTGTCACATTGGTCTTTCTAGACCGACATGCTCCAGTGAGCACAGTGTCCTGGAAGTCCATCCCTAAAGTCACAGGGGAAAAGGACTTCCTGTCAAGATCAACATCTTCTAAAGAGGCAGAGTGAAGGACGTAAAAGTCTAAACAAGTTTATATCCACAGAAGACATAATTTCACACGCAATTTTACTGGACATTTTATACTGTGAAAGGTTCGTCTGCCTGATGCTTGGCTTCTGAGGTGGTTTAGGAATCATGGGAGTTAAATCTTTGTTTCCAGCTGCGCCTTATTTGCTTCAAGATGGAGTTCAAGTCATGTTCCTGTAATGAAGAGTCCTGCATGATTAATCCTGCATGATTAATAAAAACTCAGAGACAGATATTGGGGCTCAATCTGAAGACCAGTAAAGCTAAGCAGCCAGACACTGGCTCTTACCTCAACCTCAGTCCAAAACTGGTGATCCTGCCTCCAGGAAACTTCAGAATGAGACTGGGACTGAGAGCTGTCTCCTCCCCATTTGTAATCCTCTCTAGTTCTGGGATTAAGGGTATGCACCATTACCGCCTGGTTTCTATGGCAAGCTAGTATGGCTCCTGGGATTAAAGGTGTGTGTCGTTGCTGCCTGGTCTATAAGGCTGGCCAGTGTGGCTGTTTTACTTTTCTGATCATCGGGCAAGCTTTATTTATTAAAATACAAATGAAATGCCACTACACTGTAAGGTGCCAGATTTCTTCAGCAAGCAAGGCTGCTTGTTAGTAAGTCTAATTCTCTACTCCTGCCAAATTCCAGCGCTTATACGTCAGCAGAGGAATTCTCAATGGGGCAAGGGCCTGTTAATGTGCCACCTAAGGTGACTAGTGGCAGCAGTTCTGACCCTGTCTGCATGAATGGGATGATGGGACTCACAGACACAGACCCACCTGCTCTCCGCTGGGCAGGCTTGAGATACAATTACCTCTGAGGGTATCAGAGAAACTGGTGTAAAAACACTTAGAGCATCTAGAGCCACGAAGTGCGATGACATGCCCTTAAAGCCCTGGGATCCCTTCTTATCTCTGAGAGGTCAAGAGAAGGCATTTGTGTGACCCAACCAAAGCTTGTGAGCAGAGAATGCTCTAATTTAATCAACATCTGTAGCGATTCTCTAATAAAAATAATGAGTCATCTGTCATGCAAGTGTTGAATGTGTTTCTTCCTGTTACTCAGGAGTTCCCTACACATGTTTTTACTTCTCCAAGTGTAGCAAGATTTTTGCCACATACTTCCTTCCACGGGGATAGGGAAGAGTCGTTGAGGTGGTGGTGGCAGTGAGGGCGCTGCTCCCCTGGTGTCCAGAGGGAAACGGCTTTCCTGTGATCAGCAGAGGTGGAATCTTCTTCTATCTGCACATCATGATGGGTTCTTCTTGCAGAGCGAGGAGTAAGAAGAAGGACTACCTTGAAAGCCAGACCTGCTGTGGTAGGAAAGAGGCCCCATAGCCTGGAGATTGTATAGCCACAAGGAAACAAGATAAAGAGAATCTGTGGATTCTGGTTCCCCAGCTGTTCCCTGTAGGGCGTGCGTGCTCCTAGGCCAACCATATCAATATGAATGGAAAGACAGGCCTAGGTGGGCAGCGTCCGTCTGAAAGATGAGCTATCTCTGAATTGTTCCTAGGGAATCCTTCAGTCGGGTGCCAGTGACCCCAGATTGACCTTCCCAGTTCCCACATTCACTTTCAACTTGTGCTAGCTGCCTGCTTAGCATCTTGGCGCCGAACTTGAAAATGGGGGAAGGTGACCTGAAGAAAAATTGCTTTCTTCCTAGCTGTCCCCTCCCTTCATTAAAATAAACAAACTAGGCTGCCTCCCCCTCTTCCCAACCCCCCCAACCCCCTGCATATTTACCAATGAGTTCTGTGCCTGCGCCATGGGCAGCCACTCACGCAACAAGACAAACTCAAAGTCAACTTTATCTCTTAGACTTCCTAAGTTCCAATCATGTATTCCCAGGCAACCACCGGAATTACTCTGTAAAAGATACTGTGCCATATTCCTTATTTAGAGAGATGCATGAGATGACAAATTTCAGTTAGAGCCAATTAAAGAGGAATTATGTATGAAGAAGCTGAATGGAGTTTGGCTAAATCTTACCAAGAGCTTCACCGGGGGAAGGGATGCATCATTCTAAGACTAGACAGAGGACAGATTAGTTTGTTGATGGTGAACTGAAAACCATGGAGTGCATTGTGTTGTGAGGTCCCAAAGAGAACCACTGGCCAAGCAGATGGGTCACCATGGCTGGTACAGGAAGAGAAAAGAGTGGGCGTGTCACACATGGGCAGGCTGCAGAGAGGTGCTCTGGGAGATCCCATGAGGTTTGCAGACAGTCCATCTAGGATGCAAAGTCATCTATTGAGAATGCAAAGGGGAGGAAAGAGCCCCTGGCTTGGGGACACTTGATTCCTGTCACTCTCTCCTTCCCTGCATGGAGCCTTTGAAGGGTTCTTCCTTCTGCCCAGGATGCTCTTTCCCGGGACTTTCCCATGGCTGGTGACTCTGTGACATTTAGATCTTAGTCTAAATGTCTTCTCTTTGGAGAGGGTCTCCGTGACCTCAAAATCTACCATAGCCACCCCCTTCAGTCACAGCTGCATCCCACTTGACCTCTCTGAAGAGCCCTTATTATGGGATATTTAGCTTACTCGTTGGTTTACTAGCTTCTGTGTGTATTACTGAGTCTCCCACTAGACCTCTCAGACACACCGGGTCTTGAATGAATGAACCTTGTTAATGAGTAAGTGTAAGCTCCTTTTTCCACCCCAGGAAAAATGTAAATACACTCGTCTATTAGCCTCTAAGAGAGGTCTGATCTAGGAGCCTTGAAGATCCCCAAATTTGCACTTGCTCAAGTCCTTTATATAAAAGCTGCCAAGGGTGTGCTCAGGGCCTGTGCACATCTTCCCCACCAAATGTCAGGGCTCCACGGACAGCTGTTCAAAGGATAACGGCAGACAAATGACTGCACATTCAACAGTTACCAATCTGACTGTTAACTCATGGGGAGGTCATGATGAATTGCGAAGAACCTAGTTTACTTTAGTCAGCCCAGGGCTAATCCTGTCGGGGAGAGTGGTGTGTATGTTTGAGTTTGGGGATGTGTTAGTGTGTGTACATATGTTTAAGTGCATATGTATGTCATGGGCATGTGTGTATATCTGCATGGATATATACATGGCTGTGCATGGGAATGGACTTGAACATACAAGTGCATATGTGTGTGTGCATAGGCACACAAATGGTTGTTTGGGAGGTGTATGCTTGTGTATGCAGTGTTCCTGGGTGTGAGTAGGAATGAACTGTTAGATTAGATTAGGTGGAGGATTACCTTCCAGCTTTTATTTTACTAAACGGATAACCCAAGTCCCTTTTGCTCTGTCCGCTTCTTGCTAGCAAAATGTCTTTGCATCCCCCAAGCCTCTCAGAATGTTCTTCCCTTGGCACCAGCCCCTCAGTCCTTTCTCAGTGAATTTAGTCTACTAAAAACCACAGCCTCAAATGAGTGCTGTGAATGTCTGAACCGAGCAGCTCAAGAAGGAGCCTGTGGCATGAATAGAGAATCCGGATTTCACTGGTCTTCCCAGATGTGTAGACCAGGCTGAGAGTCTCTATGGCCCCTAGCCAGATGCTCCAATCATCCAGGGCAAATATGTGCAAACTTTCAACCTGGGACAAATGCAGTGTCCCTCATCTTGACCAGACCCTTTTTGTCTTTGGGAATAGCGTCTATGTATGATTCCTTAAAAAAAAAAAAAAATCCCAACCCCTTTAAAGAATGATTCTAATTAGAAAAAAATAAATCCTTATTTAGTCTTTAAAAACACCCCTTTATAGTCTTAGTTAAAAATAGTTCCCAGAGATTTGTATTTTTTCTGCTGTCTGCTTCTCCCTCCATCCCTAATGAGACAAAACCAAGGCACTGAATTCTGTAAGATCCAGTTAGCACAGCAGCCTCTTAAAAGACCCGACAGGAAGCCACAACACTGTTAGGCAAGCAACCCAAGACCACTGTCCTGGTCAGGAAATCCTGTGATGACCACCAAAGATAAACTTGAGAAGGAAGAGAGACGCCAGAGGTCTGATCGTCACCCATCCCCACCTCTGCCCTAGTTTGCTTCTGTGGTTCTGTAAAACTAGCCAGCAACAGAGAAGGCTAGAACTGGGGGAAAAATCCAGATAGATCATAGCAAAGATTGTTAACGGTCCTGGTAGCTTTCTTCTACTTGTAAAAGAATGGTTGCAGGTAGGGAGCATGGGGCAGAATATACGTAAGAAGTATAGATTGTCACTGGGACCCCAAGACTGGGGATATTATCTGTATACTCCTTCAGGGAAAATTGGAGTGACTGAGACTTGCTACCAAGAGACCTGGGCGCTGGTCATTTTTCTGATTGGTGAAGCGACCCCAGTGACCGACCCACAGACTAGAAACCATGGGTCCCCAGAAGTATGACCTGCATTCTCTGTTTTTCATTTCTTTAGGCTGGAGCAGAAAAGATGGATTCAGAGGAGGCACTGATCTATGAGGAGGACTTAGATGGAGAAGAAGGCATGGAGGGCGAGCTGGAAGAAAGCACAAAACTAAAAATGTTCCGCAGGCTCGCCTCCGTCGCCTCCAAGCTGAAGGAGTTCATCGGCAACATGATAACCACGGCAGGCAAGGTCGTGGTGACCATCCTGCTGGGCTCCTCGGGTGAGTGTGCCCCACCGTGGCTTCACCCTGAGATAGTCACAGGCCGGGATGTGCACAGTGAAAGACAGGATTAAAGGGAAAGACCTAAACAATGGATTCCAGACCCTTGTAAAGCCAGCCACTTGGGAAACCAACTCAGCCTCATTGCTCCAGCTCGTTTCTAGTCTTGAGGCTTTCAAAAAAAAAAAAAAAACCCTGCTAATCTCTGTCAAATCATCTTTTCCGTTTCTAAGTGAGCTCATTTTATATGTTTAGATTAAAATAAGAGCTATTTCTCTTCCCAGAAACTTTGAACTCTGATCTGTTGGCAATTAGTTATTTGAGTGTACAGGGCCAACCGTATCTTTATATCATGGAGTATTTGAAATCTTAATTTAACTCTCCAGGATATACAGTTTTTCTTCCTAAGTTAGATTGCAATCTTCCTCCACAGACAGTAACTTCCTTTAAATGTTGGCCACATTCTGATTAGTTCATAATAATGTCATCCAGAGCTATCTCAACTTTCCCCTCCTCCCCTCCCACTGCCTACCACACTGGGAACTCTTTTCCCTGCCATTTCTTTTTGTTCCCTTTTTTAATTAAGAATTTTTAATGCAATCTCTTCTCATTTTACTTAGCTATCCCCATTCCCACTTTCTCCCCTTCCCCCACTCCACCCTTCTCCACACCCCTCCATCCACTCCTCAGAAAGGGTAAGGCTTCCCATGGGGAGTCACAAAATCCAACACTTCACTTCAAGGCAAGACCAAAGCCCTTCCCACTATATCTAAGTTGAGCAAGGTATCCCTCCAAAGAGAATGTGGATGCCAGTTCAAGTACTAGGGATAAATCCTGGTCCCACTGCCAGTGTCCCCACAGACTGCCCAAGCCTCACAATTGTCCCCCACGTTCAGTGGGCTTAGTTTGATCCTATGCGGGTTCCTCCTCTATCAGTCCAGAGTCAGTGAGCTCCCACTAGCTCAAGTCAGCAGTTTCTGTGGGTTTCATCATCACGGTCTTGACCCCTTTGCTCATATTATTGCTCCTCCTTCTTTTGGACTGGTGTGGCAGGAGCCCAGTGCTTTACTGTAGATCTCTTGGATAGGTAGGATCAACAGTAAAAATGGCAGTCCGACCAAAAGCAATCTGGGAACTTCTTAAAGTGGACTTGCTCAGACTAAAGTTACAAAGGTGAAGTAACTTCCCCTTAGTAGGGGAAAAACAAGAAGGAAGTAGAATTTTTGTACAAATAAACTTCAGTATTTTATTTGAGAAGTCTGTTCAAAGTCCCTGATAAAGTTGCTTTATACCTTATATAAATGAGTTGCCTCATCAGGTAGAACAAAATTGTAATGAGACTATAGTGTCCACAATATATAATGTTTTTTTTTTCATAAATCTTAGCTGGAAAAAAGTCCAATGCCATGGTCATGCAGACAGCCCTAATTAAAACTCAGTGGACCGTAAAGCAAAATCCAGGGGCTGGACAAATGGTTTAGTGGTTAAAAGCCTTTGCTGCTCTTCCAGAGGATCCAAGTTAGGACCCTAGCACCCACATCAAGTGGAGGTGGCTCACAACCACCTATAATTCCAGTTCCACCTATTAAATGCCTTCTTCTGACTTCTTTTGACACTTATAAGTGTGCGAGTGAGGACATACACACGTGCACATGCACAAACACAAGAACTAAAATAGACACCTGCAGGTGTGTGAGGACTCACATAAATATACTAGTGCACGCGCGTACACACACACACACACACACACACACAAACTATGATAGACATCTACAGGTATGTGAATGAGGACACATACACAGACACACAAAACTGAAATAGACACCTACAGGCATGTGAGGATATACACACCCGTGTGCATGTGCACACACACACACACAAGAACACACACACACACACACACCAAAATAAATCTTTAAAAAGTAATAGACATGAATGCGAGACAGAAATGTGTAGGGAAGAGGAGAGCAGTGGGGAGCGGGGAGAGGGTTGAGGCGAGAGAGGTCCAGTGTGTATATGCACAAGTGTGAAACTGTGAAAGAAAATTTTAACTAGTAAAAAAATTTGGTAAAAAACAAACTGCTCGAGAGAAAGGATGGAGTGAGTGTACATACATTCCTGGAACTTGGAGGACAAGTTAGAAAAGGAAAACACCAAAGTGCGTATGCAGTTGTGCGGAAACGGAGGTGTTTCCTCAGCTTGGATCTGAGCCAGGGCTTCCTCATCACTGCCCTGAGCTGAGCTCACAGCATTACTCACTCCATGTGTGGCTTCCTCCTACAAATTGTAGAGCATTTAGGATCTGATGACGTCGACAGATTCTGGTTAATGGTGTTTAAGTCTTGATCAATAGCTAAAGTCCACAAAGGGAATTCACATCATTTCCAGCCAGTGCACTCACCGATTGGCAGGCAATACCCTGCCCCTTTCCCTTGTCATGGTTGTGTTTTCTTCTCCTCAGGCATGATGCTGCCATCCTTGACCTCAGCCGTGTACTTCTTTGTGTTTCTGGGTCTGTGCACCTGGTGGTCCTGGTGCAGAACTTTTGACCCGTTGCTGTTCGGCTGCCTTTGTGTCCTGCTGGCAATCTTCACTGCTGGGCACCTGATTGGGCTTTATCTGTACCAGTTTCAGTTCTTCCAAGAAGCGGTCCCACCCAATGACTACTATGCAAGGTAGGAGAAACCATCACTGTGTCGGAACGAGGCCACGACTCTTTGCCACCCCTTGCGGCCTCCGTAATACCTTGTTAATCTGCCAGCTGGTACATTAAGCAAAGATTTGGCACAGCCGGGAAGCAGTCTAGTCCTGTAGTTTTATTGAGAACACAGTCTAGCAGGAAAGGAAGGGTATACTGGGATGAAGGTGCTGCTGGCATTGGGGACGGGAGTGGCTGCTGTCTGGAACAGACAGGAGGGACACAGGGTCTGAGCCGAGAACACAAAAACATTTTACAGCATCTAGCTAGACAGAGCTCTCACGGGTCAAACATATCATGGCAAACTGAGCATCCGAAACAATAGCAAATTGACCGTAGGCACACCTAAAACTAGAAATACTGGAATCCAGGATTTTAGAGAATGTGAAATAGATAACTATTTGCCTGAATTGAACATGGTTATTATGCCATCTCCTGTCTGGGAAAACGGGAATTCAAGAACTTAGAAGTCTGGGGGAAAATTCTAGGCCACTCACAGTTCAAAGGGGAAACTCCTCGCTACAGGACAGTGGCAGCTGACGAAAAGCAAAGGAATGAAGGGAGTTGAAAGTCACTCCTTCTCATTCCAAATGAAGTGTTTGATTCTGGCCACAGTCTGAAGTCTTTCCTTAAGTGTTGTAGGGGTGAAGACATCTGCCCTGTTGCCTCACCGCTGTCTCCAGCTGCAAAGGGAAACAATGTACAGTGTGCTTGACACCTTCATCAATGGACCAGTGTTGGTATTCCCAACACCAGGAGACCTTGCGATTTTACATCTTGGCTCCATGCAGTGTTGGAGGGACACAGTGTCATGGTGTCCAGTGATGAGACCCGATCTCCAAACTAGAAGCTACGTAAAGCTCAGAAATGATTCGGATTGCCTGAGATGAAAACTGCCAGAAATTCCCAAAATGTAGTTCTCTATATTCTCTCTCCAAAAATCAGCTTAATCTTGTTTAAAATGATCATATTTAGAATGTGGCAAGGACAAGGTTGCTTTAAAAGAAAACTGGACACCCAGACACGTGTGCAGGGCATGTCTATGTTGAGCCAACAGTAGGTCCCTCAAAGATATTGGGGCTAAGTGAGGGACTTTGTGGCTGCTGGACATAAGAAATGTGGCAAATTTCTTAGATTTATTGCTGATTTCTTTATTTTTGTGTATGAGGCTGTCATTATTTTAGGAGCTACACTTAAGGATGAAGTGTCGTGATGAAATTTTTTGTTTTGATGGCTTAGCAACCAGAACGACAGACTAAGGAAAAAAGACACAGGGAGTAGCCAGCGTTATTTGCATGCTCAGTATGGAGTCATCTGTTGTCTGTTCATATGTTCTTTGTCTATCTAGAGTTCACAATTCAAAGTTACAGAAAGAAAACGGAACACAAACAGATGTCCGAGAGCATGAGTGGGAAGAATCAAAATTCCTCTCTCTGCTACACCCTTGGGTGTTGTTCTCTCATTGAGAAATGAGGAACTTGTCTAGGATAATATGTCAATCTCGGTGGCAGAGGTGTGCAACCCAGTGTGGTTGCTCCATGGTGGTAATTATGAAGAATAATGTATAGGTCCATTGATTCATGTATAAAGAACGTGCTAGTTTGAGTTCATGGTGTGGGATAATTGTCTGTAATCTGTCAGTCATTTTAAATAAATGCTGATTGGCCAGGCAGGAAGTATAGGTGAGAAAACCAGACAGGAAGTAGAGGTGATGCGATGAGAACAGGAGAATTCTGGGAAGCAGGAAGCTCCCTCCACCATTCCTGCCCAGATCACTGAAGAAGCAACATGTAAGCTGACAGCTGAAAAAGGTACCAAGCCATATGGCTAACATAGATCAGAATAATGGGTTAAGATAAATCATAAGAACTAATAAGTAGCCTGACCTAATGGGCCAATCAGCTTTATCACTTATAGAGATCTCTGTGTGATTGATTTTCTCTGGGACTTGCCAGCTGTGGGGTACCGGGCGGGAACAGATACCCCAACAAGCCGGCCCTCCTTGCTACAAGTTTGTGTCCCTATAGATGTAACACATCTTATTAGTCCTAATACCATTTACATTCAGCTAAAACAGAGTTGGCAACATACATATGCATGCACGTATGTACACACACATACACACACACAGAGAAGCATGCACGCAAAGGCACACACATGAGCATGCACACATGCACTCCAGTAATGACAAACCCAGTTGGATCAACTGATGGCATTAATCTATAAACTTAAGAACTGTAATCCAATTTAATAAGAGATTTATGCAATATAGACACATTAAAACTTAAGAGTTTTTTTAATGGTGCGTAGTGCATATTTGTTTTGGGTGGGGGTGAATAAATGCTAAACTTTAGTACAGACATTAGCAGTGAGCTAAATGAATCCTTCAGTTTCTTTGGGGCATTTAATTTTTTGGTTTATTGAACATATATAAAACTACTCTGTACTGTTGAAAGGGTTGGCATTTTAGGGGATGACTTAATTGGAAATGTAAACATCCTCCATGGGCCAGCAACCTTCCTCCCTCCTAGCTTAGGTTATTTTCTGCCACCTGGAGGCTGATGGTGGGAAAAAGATGACTTACAACCACTATGAGAGTACATCTATGTCCCCAGCAGCTTTGGTGTCTGTAAAGAGCACATCTTTGTCCCCAGCAGCTTTGCTGTCTGTAAAGAGTCACTTTGTGCCTTACAGGTCATAAATTCTGCCATAGTTCTATGGAGAAGTTGTCCTCTGCTGAAGCAGCCAAGACTAGACTTAAAGAACCAATAGGACCATGTCCTAGTAAATTGTTCTACCAGGACATTGACATTTCCATTTTGTATTATTTTAACATTTCACCAAATATATTATTTTTCTTTTGAGATTCTCTGACAGTTTACAATGTATACACCATATTAAGTTGTGCATGAAGCAGAATGGGTGGTAGACTAGACTTGGCCCTTGCTGTTCTGTGGCAAATATGATAGTAGTGTCAAAGGGCGCCATGATTATTTGTTTAAACTGCCACAGAATTAAAATTATGCTTTATTTTAGATATTCTGTAGATCGGTCTGTTATTCCCAGCTCTTACAGCAACCAGCAGCAAGTTATATTGCTCATCAGCATATGAGAAGGCCAAAGCTTGGCAACAGTAAATTCCCTTGAATTTACTGTTGTTTGTTCCCAGCTTGAGGATCATGAGTTGTTACATTGTATCTTTTGGATATTGAAATTTAAGACATTAGTTTTCCCCTAAGAATCATTCTAATATGTTGCTGTTAACCTTAAAATTATAGGATCTAATTGAAGAAATCTAACTAGAGGCTAACAATGATAGATAGATAGATAGATAGATAGATAGATAGATAGATAGATAGACAGACAGACAGATAGATAGGTAGATAGATGATAGATAGATAGATAGATAGATAGATAGATAGATAGATAGATAGATAGATAGATTGATTGATAGATGATAGACAGACAGACAGGTGGATGGATGGTTGGACAGATGGGATGGACAGGTGAGTGAGTGGATGGATGATAGATATATGATAGATAGATACATGATAGATAGATACATAAATACAGACAGATAGATAGATAGATGATAGATAGATATCATTTTGCATGACACTGTTTTTTTTTATAACCAAGAGGACTTATACTCTGTTACTCTTCAAGATAAGTTGAACCTGAAATCAGAAAACAGTTTTTGTCTTCTTTTCAGTCTTTAAGTGGGCAGTCTGGTAGTAATCACCTTTATTTTCAGAAAAAAAAATAATTGAAGTTTTTCTCATCGTTTGATACACAACTTTGTTGGTGATATTTGAAAAAAATGAAATAAATAATAAATTACATACTTTTTGCAATGGAATTTTAACTCTCCAAAATAAATTCTGCTGATACTTTTAGCCCGTATCGTTCAGTGTTCTTTATATGCATATTAATACAATTTTTAAAAACTTTAAATCCTGTCCATATGTTTTATAGCATACCATACTTAGTGTTTGTTATTTTCCTGGTTAAGTAACATTCTCCTAAAATAGACTCTTTGTAGGCTGCAACATGCTGGCGGCACAGCTGTTGTGTCTTGATCCATCCTTGAGCTTTGACCAGGAGGGTTGTTCCTCATTTTTGCTGTCATAAATGATGCTGTGGTGAGCATCACTTAGCTTTTACTCCAAGCCAGCCTCATGTTGAGCAGCTGCAACCCTGGTCCTCTTGATTGAGAAAGAGCCTCTGCAGAACTATGAAGTGCTTAATCCTTCTGGAAAGTCCAGAACTTTCCGTAGTCTGGGGTCAGAATTATGTTAATCTACAAAATTATAATGCTGTCATCATGCATGTGCTATGTGGAAATTCATGTCTATGAGTAGCACAGCTTGGAGATTCTGTTCCTCTTTACATTACTCTGTCATTAAATGTTGTGGTCCCAAATGCTGGATACCTTTTAGGTTCATCCAGTTTATGGTGGAAATTCTCAGTTCTTTTACCGAGCAGAAAATACAGAAGAGATGATTGGGATGTGTGGGAGAGACCAGGGCTGGTGTGGAAGTTTTATATGATATTCAGTTGGGAGAGAGGTAGAGGCCACTTCCATGTGTGAGCACCGTGGGGGCATGACCAAGTTTTCCAAAGCAAAGTTCAGGACTCATTATTTGGCAGTGATGAATATATTTATAATGATCAAAATAATGCTTCAAAAATGCATCATCTTAACGGAGTATAAAATGATAGAGAACATTTGGAATGATCTGGTACTTGTAGAGCGTCCCATTAGACCTGGTAACCTGGCTCCAGAAATTTCCTGTGAAAATGGAGAAGCCTGTGAGGCTTCATCATCAACAGGGACCTTCTGCTTGAGAGAGGAAGTAACAGTGGGAGAACTAAAGGGATGGGGCTGATACCGAGTCCAGCTCCATGTTTGCGGGGAATGTGCAGAGATGCCCCAGCATCTCCCTGTGAGAAGATCACCAAGCTTAGGAATCTGGG